TTTGCAATTGCATTGCGGACAGAACTTGAGCCTAATAGCCCACCTAGAATAAGGATGCTTGACGGCGTGATGATAGGTATGTGAATTCTCTAAAGGTGCAACATACTCCCTGTACAAGCTCTGCCTGCCAAGGGATTGCATGGTATCTCATGAAAGTGTGTATATGCGATTTCAAATCTTCTGGACGGATTTATGCCTGAAGCAATGCTTAATTGCAACGGCTCACGCCACAGTGGGGATGGCGTTCTTGCCATGCTTGTCTTCGACCGACTCGATGCCTCCCTTTTCCTCTTCCACGTCCACGGGCCTAATGCCAACCTCAGTTTCAGTGAAAGCATCGGCGATATTCCGGTACCTCGGGACAAAATTAACGGCCAACGCATATGACCATGCCAAGACAAAGAAGATAAGGGGGATGACCATAGCGATGCCCATGCCCTTGTGATCGGCAACGACGCCAAGCAACGGAGGTACAACTGCACCACCAGATACACCTGAGTTACATGCATTAGATAGCGAACCAACGGTCCCGACAATGAATGGAACGCTTACCTGCAATAATGAAGCCACTGCCGCGCTTAGAATGCCTGCCTAGGCCTCTCATGCCGAGAGCCACAATTGTCGGAAAGCAAATAGACTCGAAGAAAAGGACAATATAGAGCATGGCCATGCCGGTATCACCCTTCTGTGTGATGGAAGGGGCAATGAAGATAATACAGGATGACAGGAACGCCAAAAATACCCAACGGGGCTTGATATAATGCATAAGACCAACTCCAGCGAAACGGCCTATCGCGAAGGCGGCTTGGGCGCCAGCAAGAAGTTTGGAGCCAAGCGCGTTGTCGGTGTTTTCGCGACGTTCTGTCACATAGTTGATAAAGAATCTAGAACTACCGTTAACTTTTGAACTTTATCCACTCTAGACGAAGATCAACAAACCCCGCGATGGCTACCTGAGCACCAGTGTAGCAGAACTGGGCGAAAGAAGCGTGGAAGAGACGGTATTGCTTCCTGAAAGGCTTATCATCGACGTTGGCGTGCGTCTCAGAAGCTTGGAAAGCCATATCAGCATCGGTGATTTCGGGAATTCGAGCCAGCCAGAAGACGATCGCCAGCCCCCAGACGAAGACGGCGATGGAGAGATAGACCCATTGAACATTCTCCAGAGCACGTTTGTCGTCAAAAGCGAAGAAGACGTACGATCCCATGACGGGAGCCACGACAGTGCCGATACCATTGAAGGCTTGAGAAATGTTGATTCGAATCTCGCTGTACTTAGGAGGACCGCAGACGGTGATGTACGGATTTGCGGCTGTTTCAAGGGAGCCAAGACCATTACCGATGATGAAGATGGCGGCACAGAAGCCACCGAAGCTCTTGGCGATAATGCATGGGATCGCAATGAGGGCCCCCAGGCCGTATAGGAAGAGTCCAAAAACAAAGGTAGCTTTATAGCCCCAGTGCCTTAAGATCCACGCCGCGTGCCCGAGACTGGCAATGAGATAGGCTCTGTCAGGCAAGAGTCAGCATCCATGTCTATGACTGCACTGTTGCAGCCCTCGGAAGCCATGAGGTATCCGGGGACTAGTGGTAATGGCAGTGCGCGATTGTGCGTCGCTTAGCTGAATGCTGTGTAAACGCATGGCAGTAGACGCCGATGTAGACACCGGCAAGAAGCAAGTCGGCGAATCGCCGCCTTCGCGGATTGTTCCCGTGTGAGAGGGGGATTGTGACGACGGACATACCCAAAGTAAGCAGCCTGCAAGCCAGAGGACCTAGCCCGGGTGATGTGAAGTGTATCTTGAAAGTGTTTGTTCAGAGTGTCGAGAAGGCCTGATGATGAGATTCTTAGCATTCCTGTATGCGATCGTCAATTGTTGTGTTGCTGCAACATACCGTAGGAAAACCCCCAGAGGAAAAATAGGATAGTGACAAGAACGATGGGAAACAGAGATTCCTTTAGCGTCAATTCGGCAGCGTTCGTGCGGACATTATCCTTCTGGCGCAAAGACCGTTTGCGGAAGAACTCCTTGATACCCATCTTGCAAGTTTGACGAGGATGATCGAGCGCCGTGTTGCGCTGGGTCTGGTGGTGGCACTGAGAAGATATTGGAGTGATCGCGACCGTTGCGGTCTGGTGGGAAGGTCAAAACCTCAGTAACGAGGCGGACGTAGCAGTAGCCTTTGGACCGATGGACTGCAATTTGCAATGCGGTGAGACGCGTCCGAGAACAAATAGAATTCCTCTGGAACGAGGAGACCCGGGTCAGACGAAAGCTTATAAGAGCTCAAGCCGGCCGCATTTTCGGTCGTTTCGAGCCTGATCTTCCCCTGCACGAAAGCGAGATGGACATGACCATCCTTGGCTGCTTCTTGGCTTCTCCATGGTTACATGGCTAGCAGTCCCCGATCAAGAGACCAGTCGCACAGCACTACGGGTACTCAATTCCTTGCTGTGAACAAAAGGCTCGGGTGGAGCAACGGTCTTCTGGACTGATCTGGGGTAACGAGCGTTTGGAGAGGATTGCGGGGATGGTCACCGCATGCTCTAAGTCGCCGGGGAAGCAAAGATGGCCCCATCCATGCTCGGTCGAGGTGCGGGGTGAAGGTTGGAGCAGCCAGTTGAAGAAGACGTGGTGGATCTCCAGAGAGAATACCGGTAGAGAGGACATCCTACGGTAACTCACAGAGAGTTCGCGACCCAGCCTTGGCATGTCCATCATTTCCTCGATGTGGCTCCAATTCCCCCGAATCAACAGCTTGGAGGATGGCTGTCAGACGAGGGTAAGTGAGGTGGGGATTTTAATCAGTCTCTATGGTGGTGATTGGACATGGAGGAGGACGGCAGTTCATCGAGTCTGGGGTAAATGGTCCGGGGCTCGATATAAAGATGGACCGAAGGACGCTCAGATTGCGGAGTAAGCGGATGATCATTCGCTCGGCGGACCGATTGGCGTAAGGAGGCCAGTTGGTTCTCTGTCAGGGCCGGGGGGGGGGGGGCTATGTGACATCACCTCCTCAGTTTGTTACACTCTTCGCTCTCGTGATCATTACGCGCTACTGGCTCAACTGATATTCACGTGGAGAGAAGTCAATTTACATGATTTCCTAATAACACTGAGTGTTGGCTACCGCGTACTTCAGCTGTCGGGGCTAGGCTGGGAGCAGACGAGATCCACCGTCAGCCCCAGAGACTCGGGACTAGTGGTCCAGTCACATCAGCGACACAATCTGAGGGTCGAAAATCCGGTTTCAAAAAACTGGAATCCCTTCTGCAAAGATTCTACGCGTCAAAAAGATATCAGGCACTCCCATGAAGGGCGGTCCAGCAGCGGTTAAATTTAGCCACATAGACCTCCCCTATCAGAGGTAAGGTAGGACAAGCTAGACCTTCCAGCCTCCATCCACAATCGCGGGATGGCGTGTTTGGCGCCGCTAGCCGAATGCCTCTAACCAGACTTTGGAGTCGTCGGTGCTCCGAGAATGTCTGAAGAGATCGGACGAAGACTGGAACGACCGATGCAAAAGTCTTTATGGATATAAATTCCAACAACAAACAGGTCCGCCATCGAAATGTTCCGCTTGGCGCTAGACTCACCGGAGACAGTCGACGATCACTCGTTGATTGCCGATAGCTGAAACAAACTTAGGCTTACCAAAGACGACAAGACGAGAGGAACTCGATACTTTACCGTGGGGTTGCGAGACCGCTTCGCTGGCGGACTGATGTCGAACGATATACGAATGTAGATGTCTTTACTGCCAAGCTCATGGACACCTAAGTGACTTGAAGTAAGCCAAGGCCAACTTCAATTGCTGAAAGTCGTGCTGCGAGCAATCGACTGAACATGACTCGCAACAGCGTCAAATTCTTCGGGACTTGGTTCTTTTCCGATATGGTCACGTGAAGGTTACCACGGAGATGTTCACAGCTGCAGCTGACTGTAACCAGTCGGCGCTCCCTACTGACAGCCGACAAGACAAATTCGGGCTATCACCACAAAGTATCGTCAAATAGTTATCAGATATCAACGCCAAGATAGGGATCATTCGCTTCAACGTCTCGAGATACAGATTACAAAATGATTTAAGGCAGGGTCCTTATAGCTTATTAATCCCTGGAATAAAGCCGGAAGTTCTCCATGGTAACCATCGGGCTATCATCTGCTGCGTCGATAATTTGTTCCGAAATTTGTCCGGATGAATATGGCAGGGCCTCCAGAACCGTCGTCCCAGACAACTTAGGACTACTGCAGTGGGAATAAAGTACAAATACCTAAGAAGCAGTCTACCGAAGTGGCAGACTAACTGCGCTTAGGCGAACAGCGATGTGTGGCCACATAACCTTTCTTACATTCAGCCCATGATGACGTGACGAAGTAACTAGGGAAAGGTTTCCTTGGCCTGAAGTGTCTCGCAGACGCTTACATCAGGAACCATGTCTACTAAGTTGATTACCTCTGTAATTCTGCTAAGTTAAAACCACAGCTACAAAACCAAAAAGGAAAGTGAATCTGACATATTTGGCCCAAGGGTCTTATTACTATTCCACAATTTGTTCCGGGAATGGGGGGCCATTTGACCTGTCTTTAGTGAAGTCTCCGCAGATCAAGTGAATCAGTTGCTCTTTGATAAGTGTCTAAAACTCGCATTGTCTTCTTTGACTTCTAGCCATCTACTGATGCGCTTGTAGAGAAGTAGCTCTGCTAGCTGGACGACATCGAAGATCAACATCATCCATATTTCCCCTCTGCAAGATATGCAGGTCAACGAGTCAGGCCGAGATAACATTCAAATCCTGGGATTGACGGCATGCACGAATGGAAAACAAAAACACTGCGCGAAACGACACCCTTCGCCTGCCCCTAGCCCGCCACGAGAAACGAAATTTTGCGCCGACAAAGGAGGAGACAAGAGCAGAGAAAATTCCGGCAAAGATCAAGACGCGGAAGTGCTGACCAGATTCCTACAGTCGCGGTGCCCCCGGTGGCAAGCTCAAGATGACCCTCGGTCTTCCCGTGTACGGACTCTCCTCTCTCCCCGAATGAGAGAAACCCCTCTCTCTGTGGTGGGAAACTCGTCGCTGACTCTGTTGCTTCAGTGGTGCCGTCATGAACTGCGCCGACAACTCTGGTGCCCGTAACCTTTACATCATCTCCGTCAAGGGTATCGGTGCCCGCCTCAACAGACTGCCCGCCGGTGGTGTCGGTGACATGGTCATGGCCACCGTCAAGAAGGGAAAGCCCGAACTCCGCAAGAAGGTCCACCCCGCCGTCATCGTTCGCCAGTCCAAGCCCTGGAAGCGTTTCGACGGTGTCTTCCTGTACTTCGAGGACAACGCCGGTGTCGTAAGTACTATCCGATATCTGGGAGACATGGGACGCGTCGGACGAGACTTGGCCGTACGGCTTTCGCATAGCCAGGCTCCGAAGATGACGTCCCTTTTTTGAAGATGGATATCACGAACTGTCTGCTAACACACCTACTACAGATCGTCAACCCCAAGGGTGAGATGAAGGGCTCCGCCATTACCGGCCCCGTCGGTAAGGAGGCTGCTGAGCTCTGGCCCGTAAGTTTTCTCAATACAAACGATCTTGTGATACACGAGACTAACACCCAATCCAGCGTATTGCCAGCAACTCTGGTGTCGTCATGTAAAGGAGTTTTTTTTACACAAGTCAAGAAATAAAAGGGCGAAAAGGACGACGTTATGGCTACGGATTAGGTCAACCGGTGCGAACCATTGGGACATACTTCATCACCCCTCCTCTCTCTCCTTGACACCTCTCTCCCCCCCACCCTGTCGTCATGAAGTGAAAGAGAGCGAGGTCGAATGGATTCCATCATCACACACAAAACACCATCTGAAAGAGGGTTGTGGGCCTGGTTTTTTTCTTTTTAGTTTCCTCGCTGGACTGGCAGGTTCTGCATTTCGGCTGTGGCGTGTAAAGGGAAAGAAATTCATACCAGGCATTTCGCATACAGGAGAGATACAAAAATCCGATTCTTTGCGCACGTTACACATATTTGCCTCCTGCTTTCCCGTTTCGCTCCCCAGTTGGCGCCTTCGCTGCGTGTGAATTGGCCATGTCTTTGCTCTACTCCCAAGCAGACGAGCGTCGACGAACACCGACCAGGCAAATGCCAGGATTCCAACTAAAAAGTTGGGTCTGTGTTAGTGATATCTGCGTGCGGTTTCCTCCCCGCCTTCTCACCTTCGCCCGCTTCTATTGGCGGCGATGGATAATGAATGTGTCTGCTGAGGCTCTGACTGCACAGCAATTTTAACCCCCTCGCGGGCTATGGCCTACGTTCACGATTTCCTCAATCAGCCCGAACCAGTCCAGCACCGCTTATCCAATTCCCATGTCCTCTACCTGCAGCAACTTGACTTGCCTTGTTGTGATACAAGCTCTGCGCCGTGAACATACTACTCTTTTCCGCGTGTCCGGTGGCGACATTTCGGTTCCTCTGACTTGATATAGCTACGACTAGCTTATCCAAATCAGTGTCGCATTACGAATAGGTGGTTTCGAATTGCCTACAGTGTGAACTACAAGACTTGGAGCCGACCTAGGCTAGACATTGCTCAGCATTGCGATGTTCGATAGCTGGTTGGAGAAGAGGAAAGTCATTGCTCGAAGTGTAGCCAATCGCACCCGGGCGTATGTTTCGCCATCTCATATGAACATGGAGGTATCAAGGATCAGGAAGAAGACCTATTGACGAGGCCTTTCTGCATCGTGGGGACTGTAGCATGACGAGACCACCCAACTTAACCATGCTCCGGAAATCGACGTGAAATCTCGCCCGAGCATTGCAGTCTTTGAAGCCTGGTGGGCGGCCAAAATTGCAGTGTTGACAACAAGCCCTTTTCTCAAACCGTGTCACTCGCCGACACGCGCCATGATTGGTGTTGAACTCCTCCCTAAGCCACCAGAATGGGGTGCCAGTCGAGCATCGCCTCGTTCTGAGGCAGGATAAACCAATAGACGAGTCGATACCTTCAAGAAGCCACCCGTGCGATCAGAAAGGGATGTCCGCATGCGCCCGAGAAGAGAGGAAGCAGTAGTATGGGTCATGGCCGTCACCATGTCCGCAGCACGCCAGATTAGGTCCGGCCTGTCGTAATCCTGGCTACCCCCAATAATCGAATGAAAGAGGATTGTAGAGCTGCAGCTGCTGAATGACTTGACACCGAAGCCCTTTGAGTGAGGTAAAAACGCAGTGAAAATGACCGTACAGTGGATAGACTGTGTACAAGGCATTGCATTGTGGTTTAGTTGTCATATCGCTACCTAGCGAGCACCCTCTCTAAGGTTGCTAATTTTGATGTTAGGAAGCACCTCGCAATATGACAAGTCCGCAACGAGATCAATTAGCCTTTTTCTACACCAGGAGAAATGGTAGTCGCTTGCTTATAATGCAAAATCTCTGTAGATTAGAATTGCCGAAGATGACCGACGAGATGACCTCTGGAAGATACTAGAGTCTCAGTGTACGCCCACAGGCTTAGATACATACAGCTGCGTTGGACGGGTTGCATAGTTGCATGGAATGCGAATGCAAGGCTGAGTTTTCTTGGACGGGAAGGAGGTAGCTAAGGCTACATCTCATCCAATGAAAGTAGCCGATAGAGGCAGCACGGCCTTGGGGCGTGGAGAAATTGCAGTGAAGGCTGATAATCAGCGATGAAGATGTTCACATGTGCAGAGCAGAGAAGGGAACGGTTGCCTCGAGCTCCGTTGCCTTGCTGCTCTCGCAGCCGCATATCACGGACGCGTCGGCAATACGAGTGTTAGGGGCCATCGGAAGTGGCTCAAGATGAAGGTTATGGGCGGAATAGAGAAATTCTACGATACTATGACCACTGACAAACGCGGTAGCCGGCTTGCCAAAGACAGGTGAAGGACATGTCGAGCGAGGTTAGGTTGTCAATTGCACCTACGGCGTAAGGCACCTACTTGTGAAGTTTCGATTTTTAGTGTCGGAATACATGGCGATGGAGGCATTTTGGTCCCTAGGAGATGGGGAAATGCTCAAGATATGACAAGCGACACATCGAGCGAAATACTCACTGAGTTGTACTCCTGCATGGTCAGGATAGCTTCAACGAAGAGGTAAACAAGCAACTTCAAGAATAGCAGAGACAGTTCTTCGTATCACATCAAGAACATCGTATGTGTATGGCATCAACGTCAATTTCATCAGAGAGTATCGACTCCATCCTTCCACCGCCATCGTACCAGAAGACAAACCCCACTTATCCATCACCAACCCATGTCCTAGGGCGTCTCAACGAGATCCTTCAAGCAGGAAATCAGAGCCAAATTCCCTCATCCATGAACCGCCCAGATATGCGAAAGCTCTCTCTCCTTACCCAAGGCTGAGGCCAGACAGTCCACGACTTGACTCTCCACTTCCATTGACGCGCCACCTCCGAAAGACCACTCACTTCAGCGAGCGGGTGCCAAATCGACGAAATTTCGTATTCGTCGCCTGAAATCAAGAAAAGTTTGGCGCAAATACACAAGAGCCGAGAAAGAAAGATTCGATAAAAAGAAAAAGTGACGAAGACGGCGGCACTGTAAATGTCCTCAGTCGATTATGGGAGCTGAGACCGGCGTACCGTTCTGTCAATCCATCAATGCAAAGATCCATACGCTCTCTCCTCTTTTTTTGGTTTCCAACACTCGAATCGAAAATGGGAAAAAGTCGGATGCCCTCGCTTCCCGATGCTGATGTAAGAGAGATCATCTCCCAAGGTGCCTCTCCCGATATGTGTACTCGAACAAGAAAACTGAATTAGGTGTGTATCGGCGTGCGGGGCTTTTGCGTATTCGTGTGCCCGAACCCGTCCACTGCCATCCGGATGCGACTTTCGTCATGCGAATGGGTATACAATGCTGATCGTAGAAGACTGGAAAATAGTTGCTCTGAGAAGCACATGATGCTGGTAATGATATTCGTGGGTCTCGTGACCTTTTGCGGTTGTGTTTTTTCAATGTGATCCGTATGGGTCATCATCCTGCTCTGCATGGTAATCAAACGTGCCGTTCTTAACGGACGTGTGTAGTTGTGTCTGGATTCGTTACTGTCCCTGTCCCATGGGGAAAGGTGCCGGTTGTCCAGATTGCTGGAGTTGCATGGCCTTCTGCTGGGCGATTCGGGCCGCATCAGCTTCGGCCGCGACAGCTGCTGCCTTTTTCGCAGCGAGAGTAGCCTTTCTTTTGTTGACAGCGCCCTGCATGCTGCCATTGAGCCATCGTTCTAGAGAAATTGTTAGTGGACTGTAACATCCGTGATGGGGTTGCGTAAAGCGTACTTTTCATCGAGGCCGACATCTTCTCCGACTTGGTCATGGTCGAGTAATCCTTCTCCTCCCCTTCAGCCTGGCTAGGCGGGGCCGATGACTTGGCCGAGGTAGGTGCAGACATTGGCGCTGGCCGAGGGGTCGACAGGTTGTACTCGCTGACGTCCGTAGATGTTTGGCGCGGCGAGGCTGGGGGCTTGATGGTCCATCTGGAACCATTGTTAATCAGCTTGAATGACACCATCATCCGGGGCTGAGGGGACTCGGCTGCATCGAGAGTCGCGGTGAAACGGTGTATATCAGCGAGAATATGCTCGCCCAGTGTCTCTTTGGGTGCGAGCTCCGGTGCGCTTTGCTTTCTGTTGATGCGAATGATGCGAGCCTTCTTAGGCTGGGGCTCGGCCTCCACTTCTTCCTCGTCGACTTCCTCCTCGTCCTGCCAATTTCGCTGTCGCTTCTTCTGACGCAGTCCGTAGGTAGATCCGGCGTCCGAGATAGTGGCCATCGACGATGCCGAGGTAGGGCGAGATTCGTCGGTTGTTTCGGGTGCAACAGCAGCAACATGGCCGTTGCTCTTTCGCTGCGCTGCGCGACCTCTCTTGGGGGTCGGCTTCTCGGGCTCCTCTGGCTCTTCCTCGACAATGGCGGCCGACTTTGGTTGTCTGCCACGCTTGCGCTTGGGAGGCTGCACCTGCTCTGGCTCCGGCGGCGGGGCGATGGCCTCTTCTTCGGGAGCAGGTGAATTCGGCTCCGAGACCACTACGGCAGACTTCCTACCCCTCGGCCCTCTCTTCTTGGGGCCGGGCTTGGCAGGTGAAACTGTTTGCGGCTCGGGCTCAGGCTCCTCTTCGGGATCTTGAGCTGAAGCCGCCTTTTCTGCGGCGGCAGCCCTACCGCGCTTCTTCGGGCCCGGCTTGTTGCTTCCCGGAGTTGCTGCACGGTGGTCGTCCTGTAACACGCCGTCAAACAACTTCGGGGGGTTGCGAGTTCTCTTGCCAGAGACGATGACTCCGTCGCCCTCGGCAGCCTTGGCGCTTGCTTGCGGCTGGCTTCGGAGTTGGCGGACACCTTCGCCTCCACCACCCTTCTGAGCGCCGGGATCTTGGTTGCCCACTTTATTGGGGTGAGGATCGTACTCAAAGTGATACGTGGCGGCCATGATCCTGTCTTGCAAGCGTTGCTCGAGAATCCCGGCGTCTTTCTCCTTGATCGTGGCTCGGGAGCCCTGCACCTCAAACTCCTTTTCGATGTATGAGTCTACCTTGGCAAAGGCGTTCAAGTCGGCAGTCTTCTTTTCGTAGGCGGCATCCTGAATGGCGCGACGCTGGGCATTTTCTTGATCGTCTACGACCCTGCTGCACTCTTTGTACTCCTCTTGATAAGCAAGGAGGCACTCATTGGCCTGAGCCAGAAGGTCCCAGAGCTCCTCTTGGGGGAGGTCCTCGGAGTCCTTTAGGAAGGCTAGAAATTCGGCAGGATCCCTAAGCTTTTTGAACCTGTACTGTTTTCTGAAGCGTTGCTTCGGCATCAAAGCTGGTGTGCTGGTCCCAGTCGCGGCTGAGGGCACAACAGGCGACCCTTGGCGGGGCGTAAGTGCGGGAGTCGGGGCAGCCGAGTTGTAAGCGGACCCTTGGGAAAGTTGCTGGCCTTGGCTGTCGGGTGCGAGATCCTCATCGTGATCGGCGTCCCGCTCAGTGTCGTCAACTTCGCCGTCTGCATCGGCATTGGCACCGTCTTCTGCGTCTGCTTCAGCACCCTGGCCATGGGTGTTCGCATTGGCATTCTCGGGCGTCTCGTCAGCGATCTCTCGCTCGCCGGAAGTTTCAGCGGCGTCGGCATTTGAAGTGGGCGCAGATGCCTCGACAGCGACCGGGTAGATGGAGTGGGTGACATATTCGCCATCAACGTAAGGTGTAAGGTGGGACCACGGATAGCGCTTCTTTTTCGCCTCAGGAGCGGCGGGTTGGGGTTGCGGGGATGCTGCTTTGGGTTCGGGAACAGCAACGGGTTCAGGAGCAGCAACATCGTCCTGCATTTCTGCATCGGGTTCCTCTGCAACATCAACGTCCATCTCGTCTTGAGGCCGGGACAAGTCCTCGGACTGAGTCGTGAATGATATAGAGACGTCGACATCTTGTGAAGGGGCGGTGGGCTGTGTACTTAACGGCTCCTCTTGAGGCGGAAGCTTATTTTCGGTCGCTTCGATATGACCATTTACCTTTGTGTCTTCTGTTGACACATCGGCGATAGACTCTCGTGGTTCTTCAGTCGGCTGTGCGACGTTGACATGGTCGATGTTGTTGGTGGCGTTGAAAATCTGAGCAACGGCTGGTGCGGAATTTTCCTGAGTACCGGAGACAACAGCAGAGTCGGCGTTGACTGCCGGCTCAGCCATCTCCGGCAGAGCCGTTCTCTGCGGTAAACTTTCAGTAGGCCGCACGGGAGAACTGGCCTCTCTCTTGGGCTGGATAGAATAATCTTCGACAAAGTCGCCATGATGAACTGTTGTCGCCCCGGTGTCTGGGTGCGGGCCAGTGTTTCCGATAATGGTGACTTGATTGACGCGGATGGGCTGGGGGTGAGCGATGATAGGGCCCGCTACCTCATCCGCGGCGGTAACAATGTCGCCGGGAACGGTTTGTGCTTGGCTCTGGCTCAATTGACTCTCATCCTGCTTGATGATCTGATGGCCAATGGGAGATGCCAGTTGAAGTATTACCTGAGTCTTGCGTTGGATGGGCGACGAGAGCTGGTCATGGTTTTCTGGAAGGGAGGCGTGACCGGAAATGTCCTTGTCATTGTCATCATGGTCAGATGCATCATCAGAGCTGATGAGGTCAGAAGAATCGCCCACCACTTCAATAGTATCCTTGACAATATCCTCGTCTGATTGCTGAGAGTAGAAGGATTGCTGTTCGACGACGTTCTTCCGGGCCGGAGTCCGACGACGAGCGGCGGTAATACTGGCGACGGAAAATTCTCTCGAGTTGGCGCGGCGCTTTTGTGCTGTGGGCGTGTAGTACTCCTCGTCGACGACTTCACTGTCAGCCCGCTTCTTACGGGTAGCAGTGCGAGGGGCTGGGATTGCAATCTCGGGCAGCTCATCCTCAAAGTCTGCGGCGGAGTAGTCGATTTTCGCACGCTTTCTCAAAGTGTGAGGGCCCTTGCGGTAGGTCTCGTCTTCTTCATCTGCGGGCCCGTCAAAGCCGCTGGTGCGAGATCTCTTTCTAAGAGCCTTGCCAGGGCCAGGACCAGATCCGCCCGTACTGGGAGATGAGCGGACACTGAAGGGGTTATTCATGGGAATGGGCTTTGCGTTGCGGCGATTTTGAGGTGCCGTCTGAGGAGTGCGAGAGGCAGCAATGGGAGGAGAGCGCGTCATGATGCTCGAGTTTGACTCGCCGCCTGCGCTGGTATCAGACTGGATGCTGGAAGTGGGAAGAGTTTTCCGGCGATTCGGACGGCCACCGCGAGAGCGCTGGTCCATAGCTGTCAGAGCAGCGGTTGTGTGATGGTGCAGTCCAAGTAAGAACAGGTGAAGAGGTGACCTGGCTTACGGAGACGGATGTGTAGATGATTTGGGGGTAGAAGGGGAGCCGCAATAAGATGGCGGAGAAAGCCGAGAAGTCATTCAATGAGACGGGAGACGACTACTCTGAATACTGATGTGATGTGAATGAAGAGCTAATGAACCCTTGTCTCGTCGTAGATTTAACGGATGGCAGTAAGAGGCTGTCGGTAGGGGGAGGGAGGTTGAATGTGAAGGTGCTGGCGAAAAAAACCGGGTTTGATGCAAGTAAGTGGTGATGTGGTGGTTTGACTTGACTTGGACCACCCGACTGAGAGCTGAGAGTGAGAGCCAAAGGTTGTGTGAGTGGTGAGTGGTGAGTGTGAGTGAGCGAGACCGAAAGAGACCTGAGCTGAGAGAAACGGGCCTTGCTGTTGCCAATACCAAATAAGACGTCAAATTTGAGAGCAGACAGGACGGGTCTGCGCGATAGCTAGAGCAAACAAAAACACGCTCTGGAGACAGCTAAAGAGCCAAAGAAAATAGCGACGATATTTTCAAGAGGGCAAAGAAGTCGTGAGGGTAAGATATCTGAGGTGGAAAAGGTGGTGATTTGTGCTGTTGGTGGCCCCTTCCTGTCTTGTTGCTGAGATGGCTCCTTCCCGTCTTCACTTTGACTTGCATTTCTCAATTTTGCCTTGCCAGCCGGGGCCCTGTCCACGTCTGCGTCCACACACGTCCACCTGTTGCTCTTGCTGGCCTGGCTCAGGCTGGCTGCCACTTCCTTCCGTTCCGTTACTGGCTGGCAGGGGCCGGGAGAGAGAAAGGGAAGGCACGACTGGGCCCCTTTGGAACGCTCCTGCACTGGCATTGGCTGTTAGTCCTTCCGAGCCAGCCACGCCTGGACCACAAGGCAATGGGAAGGAAGGAAGGAAGAAAAACCGGTACGTGGGTACATGGAAGGGCCCAAGGGGGAAGGGACTCGGGAATGGGATACGTACCTATCTCTGGCTGACTTGCACCCCAAGTTCCCGTCTCGTCAAGCATCCCAGGACCTATGATGGGAGCTGGAGGAAATCCCTTTAGTGGCCCGACCTCCCTACAGCTTGTCACTATGGGCGAACCTACAGCAGGCTCACCCCTATAGCCACTGATCAAAACCCCTAAAAGCCCGCTGTAAGCCTTGACAGACCAAGAACGAGAGAACCCAGCCCGGCCAGATGGCGACTTCAGACGGGGACCCACAAGACACGCTTTTTTCATTTCCGACTGGGGATGGGCGTTCACTCAGGGCCAATGAGATGACACGCTTCTCGTCCACTCCGGATACGGACTAGCGCATCCCTTCTCTCCGCTTGATGCATGTCCCGTCCCTGGTGAATGTGATGCATGTCTCCAGCAGCTGTCGCCAATGTGTGTGGTGCTGTGCGGCGTGCCTGCGCTGGTGCATCAGACTCCCCCGTTTGGTTCACAGTCGGAGAACATGAGGTGAATGTTCAACTGCATCTTGGTCAACATCAATAACCGCCCGTCATCATTCGAGCAGTGAGCTGGTGTCTCTCCGTTACACCCACCAATATCGCCTTGATCGCTTCGGCCTGGCCCGTCGGACTTGGAACCCCACGCTATAATCATTGCTCCTTCCATTTGAGCTGTTGTTTCACGGTGTCCTGATACCTAGCGCCGCCTGACTAAGCTTGCCGAGCATCCCTTTTGGAGCTACCTAACCGCCCTCAAAGTGTTGCACCTTGTAGCTAGTGACGTCTGCCCCGCAACATCACCAACACCACAATCCTCCCATCGCCCAACATGGCTTCCAAGAAGACAAAGCCCGCCGCTGCTGGCGACGACATTGACGACCTTTTTGATGGAATTGGCGACAATGTTGCCCCCCCTAAGAAGTCGCTCGAGAAGAAGCCCAAGCCTACCACCGCCGCCTCCAAGGCTATGGCCGATAACGACATCCTAGCCGAGCTTGAAAAGGACCTCGAGCAACCCTCCCGTCCGCATACGCCGCGCCTTAAGGAGACGGCAGCGAAGGGAATCCCCAAACGCTCTGCGACCCCCACCACCGACGACAAGTCGACTGCCCCCCGCAAGTCTACCGACAGCGCACGATCTCTCCGCGCGAGCTTCACCCCCAGTGCCACAAGCTCCGACCTGCAAGAACCCGAGAAGAGGCCTGCTGAACAGCTTGCCACTGCCTCCTCATCAGCTGCTTCTCCCGAAGCCGCGCCCGCTGCGGCTGCTGGAGGTGGTTGGTGGGGTGGCATCTTCAACACGGCCACTGCCGCCATGAAGCAGGCCGAGGCTGCTGTGAAGGAGATTCAGAAGAACGAGGAAGCCAAGAAATGGGCCGAACAAGTTCGTGGAAACGTTGGTGGCCTCAGGGCTCTTGGTAAGTCCACAAGCTGGTTTTGCCATCTCCTAAACGCAACCCACGCGCGTTGGTATAGAGGGAACAAGTAGGTTTTAACACTACCTTTACAGGAGATAACCTTCGCCAGCAAGCTCTTCCGACATTCACGAATATCCTCCACACCATTGCCCCTCCCATTAGCTCTCACGAGAGACTCCTCATTCACATCGCCCACGATATGGTCGGGTACCCTTCCCTCGATCCATTGATCTACGGCACTTTCTCCCGCGTCATGTCCCAGGTGGAGGGCGGCGAGTTGATGGTCATTCAGCGAGGCCAAGAAACCCACAGCCGCAGATACTCCAATGACAGTGGCGCGGGCTGGAAAGACGGTCCTTGGTGGAGACAATCCGACTCCCCGCGTGACCTGGGTCTGATTAAGGGTCTGACCGAGGGCACCAAGCTCTGCCGTGCTGGAGCCGAGGGTTACGCCAGCGAGTACTTCGCAGCCCACGGCGGTGTCGAGCAGGCTCGGCTACGTGCGACTGAGCCGGTGAGCGAAGACAACCCGGTCCGCAGCTCCGACCTCTTCCTTGCCATCCAGGCTGTGGGTACCACGGCCGACTCTGGTCTCTTTGCCAGTACGTCGGCTGTGGAGAAGGAGAAGGAGACTTCGGCCGTGGCCGAACAGGATGAGGCAGATGAGATGGTTTGCTTCGCCGTCTTCTGCCTCGACCCCGTCCACGAGATTGAGTACTCGGCCATCAGCCAGTCCATCCCGGCCAAGTGGATCCGCTGGTTGGACGCCGCCAACCCGCTGACTCCTGCCAGCGGTGATGATGGCCAGGAGGGCTCTCTGGGTCAATCTATCCCGGATGAGATTCGTGAAATTGTCGAGGGCGGTGGTGTCGACCCCCGCGAGTGGGTCGCCGAGTGGATCGAAGAGCTGTTGAGTCTGGCTGTGGGTGTCGTGGCACAGAGGTATGTTGCCAGAAGAATGGGTGTTGGTGAGGGAGGCATTGGAAAGGGCAAGAGGCGCATGGACGAACTCGTTCAGGATGGTGGTGGCGAGGCTGCCCGGGCTGGTCTTATCTAAGCCAGCATCGGATAGCAGTGACTGTATGAATTTATCTAGGTGTTCGGGTATACCGTTTTCTTCATCAACATTATTGGAGAATCATTATCATTATACAAATGGCACCACTAGTGTTCACGTTCTTGCCTCTTTGTGTGCCGAATGCTTGAATTGTACGCCAAATGTGTTCTTGGGTGACCAGCAGTTCGACGTTAATATCTGCTTCAATGTGGCGTATGGTTGATGGTCATCGGATAAAACCATTGATGAGAAAGCCAATAGACATATATGTTCATTTGCAACGCTGTAGCCTCATGAAGAGCGTGCTAAGCTCAGACACCTAAGATAGTCGCACTGTCGACACCGCGTTGACTTCCGACATTGTTGAAATGACTCCTATACAATACTTGGCAACCAGCATCATATACATTGGCCAATAGAATCTCATTTTGCTTCAGTCAAAGTATTGAAGTCTATGGCTTTGAAGTTGGTCACCAAGACCGACTTACACGGGCGCGGAACGCACCAGCCGGCACCAGCTGCCTCACAAGCCCGGCACCTCCCCCGAGTCCCCACATCGGATTCTCTCACGGGTGCGTATTACATAATCTGAAAGCTCAACGTAAGATTTGAGAAGAAAATTTCCTTCCCTCCGTATCCTTCACTTGATCAAACTCACCGGCCGAACACCGCATTTTGCAAAGACAGGCAGCGCAACAAAAGCAAACGGCTCAAGTGAGTCATACAGGGATGGTCTCGAACTTCTACGAGAATGGGCATTATGTTTTGCCTCCCTGTGCTCTGTTGCGGTGTCCATCGCGTCAAAGCATGAGAGTGGTGTGAAGCCAAACGAAACAGGAAGGATAGCTTTAATCATCCTTACCTACCTTACAGCAGCGTCTACCCAGTCACTTGGATTATTCACGAGTCTTTGCTTCGGCGAGGGTCTCCTTCTTGTGCCGCGTTTTGCGGTACACTCTGGAGAGGACTGGAAATACACTATTTATGAGCGGTAAAAATGGAGGGGTGAAGGGGCGTTTACGTCTTTTTCCCTCTCGATTTTTGCTGAGCTGCAAGAAAAACAGGACCATCATAGTCCATGCCCATCTTTTTTCCTACATGGGCGAGGCTCCAGGCGTACCGACAGATTTTGTTGTGACTTTTTGTTTTCCATGATTTGAATTGAGAGCATTGCCGGTTCAAAGTGCTACATGCCATCCACGTCCATGTTGCCCAAATGACTTGGATGGCTCCAAAGTGCTGAATGTCCCAGCAAAGTACCTGCACCACGCCCTCAATCAAGCCTCTCAGTCAACAAGACGAGCTCATCAGTGCATTCCTAACATTGGGAAGAATCATGGATTCGAGCAAAAAGGTCACATTCACACCGGCCGAGTCCCGGTCGTCTCCGGTGTTTTCCTCCACCCTTTTGGGCCACCGACATGCAATTGAAGTTGCACCTCCCCCACCTCACGCACTTACTCAAGTTGCTGTCACCATTCACCACAAAGAACGGCCTGACGTCACCTGGCAGTCAGCGCTCACAAACGGCAGGACGGCAACGCCATCAAGCCGCTCTTTCCTCTCCTCCTCTAAGATACCTCGATACCTCACGTTACCCCCCTTTTCCCCGAACGTGAGGTACGTAGCTGTTCTTTAGCGTTTCTGTGCCAAGGAAAATGTACATATTGAAATCCAAAGTGGACGGCGACGTCGACATCTTATCACGACTTCCCGTCTCTGCTGCTTGCATGTGCTTCTCATCAGACCATCTCGACTCCCACTTAAACACACTCGTAAACCTGACTGTGCAAAGCTCGAGGTCTGCGCTTTACTCATCTTGACCTTCACTTAAGCTCATTGACATTCGATGCCACCCAGAATCATCGTGAACCCTCTTCGGAATATCATCACCACCCGCCGCTCCCGTTTACCCCGTCTATCTCACACCATGGCTCCCACCAAGGACCGCAAGGAGTCCAAGTTCTCCCACCTGCCTCTGAGCACCAGCGGCCCCATCAGCTGCGCCGTCACGGGCAGCGCGCTGCTCAATACACCTTATCTCAACAAGGGAACAGCCTTCCCTGATGACGAGCGCCGCGAGTTCAACCTGACCGGTCTGCTTCCCCAGAGCATTCACTCCCTCGAACAGCAGCTGCACCGCGCCTATGAGCAGTACAAAAGCCGCCAAGATGACCTGGCCAAGAATACATTTTTGACGTCGCTGAAGGAGCAGAATGAGGTCTTGTACTATCGGGTATGTATTTGAATGTTACCATATGTTGAAGCATAAGCGATCTGAGACTGGTGCATAGTTGTTACAAGAGCATCTTCCGGAAATGTTCAGCATCGTGTACACGCCAACCGAGGGAGATGCGATTCAGAACTTTTCAAGACTATTCAGAAGACCTGACGGCTGTTTTCTAAACATTAATGATGTAGATCGAGTCTATCACGACCTCGCCCAATGGGGGCGACCAGAGGATATCGACTACATTGTGGTTACCGGCATGTACCCCGTCCCCGCATATGCCACCTTGTCTTCCGAATCTGTTATGCCCGAATGATCCGCTGACTAGCTACACCAGATGGAGAAGAGATCCTGGGTATCGGAGACCAGGGTGTCGGTGGTGTTTTGATCTCCGTGGCGAAGCTCGTCCTCACAACCCTGTGCGCTGGTGTTCATCCCAATCGAACACTGCCTGTGGTGCTCGACTGCGGCACTGATAACGAGGAGCTCTTGAACGATGGTTTGTATCTGGGACTCAGACAGAAGCGTGTGCGGGGACACAAGTATGATCGCTTCGTTGACGAGTTCGTCAAGGCTGCCAGGAGGCTGTATCCTCGCGCTTACATCCACTTCGAGGACTTTGGTCTCACCAATGGTAAGTATGGTGGTTCTGTTTGGATGGGGGCCCCTGCTAATATGCGATGGATTACTAGCCAGAAGAATTTTGGATCAATACCGCCCCCATATCCCGTGCTTTAACGACGATGTGCAGGGAACGGGATGCGTCACTTTGGCGGCAATCACGGCTGCTCTACACGTCAGTCAGCAGAAGCTCACTGACCTGCGCCTGGTCATCTTTGGTGCTGGCTCAGCTGGTGTTGGAATCGCGGACCAGGTCAGAGACGCCATTGCCGCCGAAGGAAACATGAGTAAGGAGGATGCTTCCAAGCAGATCTGGTGCGTATATACCCGCAAATCTTACAAACTGCACCATTCCGGCTAATAGAGACACAGGTTGATCGACAAGCCCGGTCTCTTGACCACAGATAGCGAGGTATCCGCCGCCCAAAAGGGCTTCGCCAAGGACCCTTCAGACTGGAAGGACAAGGACGCGTCTCTCCTTTCGGTCATTCAGAGTGTCAAGCCCAATGTCCTCATCGGGACTTCGACCAAGCCCAAGGCTTTTACGGAAGAAATCGTCCGCGCCATGGCAGACGGCGTTGAGCGGCCCATCATCCTCCCTCTCTCCAACCCAACTCGTCTCCATGAGGCCGTTCCGGAGGACATCTACAAATGGACCGACGGCAAGGCTCTCGTCGCGACAGGTTCCCCTTTCAAACCGGTCAAGGGCCCCTGGGGTGAAGGCGGTAAGGAGATTGAGATTGAAGTCGCAGAGTGCAACAACTCTGTCGTCTTCCCGGGCATCGGCCTCGGCTCCGTGCTTTGCCGGGCGAGCCTGGTGACGGACAAGATGCTCGTTGCGGCTGTGGAGGGCGTCGCGTCGCTCAGCCCCGCACTCAAAGACCAGACGGCGCCGCTGCTGCCGGGTGTGGATGTCGTCAGGGACGTCAGTGTGAGGGTCGCGCGGGCGGTGATCAAGGCGGCCGTCAAGGAGGGCGTGGCGACGGAGGAGGGGATCCCGGAGGGGGACGAGGACTTGGACGAGTGGATCCGGGAGCAGATGTGGTCGCCCGAGTATCGCCCGCTCAAGCTTGTTGAATACAGTGAGGCGAGTCGGGAGGCCAAGGGTGAGATGAAGATTGCTGGGAGCTTTAGCAGAGTTGGGAGCTGGTAGATACCGTCATTCAGTTCACGCGTGAGTGTCCGAAGACGGCAAAAGGCAAAAGTACATGCAACACCGGGCATTCGCCGGTCGTCTCCGACCCGACTACTACTCCGGCCCTCACTGGTTTATCGATGGGAGAGCGGACGGGATCCCGAGTTCTCCAGTGGGTGTGGTCGCATGTGTTATCTTGCCGGAGTGGTGATGCTGAAGTTGGGTGGAGGTTGGTGGTGAGGCTCTGGAGAAGGGCCTCCAGCCTCATTGGGGTCATTTGAGGAACGGACGCAGAACAACTATTTTTTAATACTGAGTTAGATGCTAGATAATTGCCTGAACAGATTTATGTAGAAAACCGCGCGGAATTATGTTGTGGTGTTGTTTGGTGAATTAACTTGGTCTTTTATTCTTGCTTTTCAAATGCGTACAAAGTGGCGATAATTGCGCTCAATCTTAGGACTCAACATGAAGGTGTACGATATTTTCTGTCCGGCATGAAGAGAAAAAGTATTCGACTGAGACAATCATCTAGCCATGCTTTAATCTGGACCCTGGTGATATCTGATAAGCTCCATCGCTGAGACTTTCCGTTAAAGTTCACATTCAATAACAGCAAGGTGAGGTAGTGAGATAGGGGAAGGCCGTTCCCACGATAGCAACACGATGAAGAAGCCTACGAATCAGTAGTATCTAGCACCCCAACGGATATTCCGACTCGGTATCTATTTATGCCACATGGACCTATAGATTGACCTTGACGCATGGTCCTAGTCTGCGTTACAGGGTATTCGAGCGCCACCCAATGGTCTTGATCCAGTGTCAATTTTCGAGTCAGCTCTCCAGCCACGCCTCAGTAGACAAAGACTCATGAGCTCAATCAATTGTCTCGGCCTTGTCCAATGATATGTGCGAGATTGATGATTGCGAAAGTATCAGCATCGGTCTCGGCTTTGAGTAAGAGGCTTCTGTGCCGTGAGTACCTAGACTCTCAACAGTTGTGGTCATACATAAACACCAGGAAATTGAGAGACTGGGTCATGGAGGATTTATCATCGAGGTTTTTACTTTTTTATTTCTACTCAACAACGCACTCATTGCTGCGACACATCAACCTTTGTCCACCAAAACTCCGACTCCTTCCTCGCCCAAGTATCGGCACACAACCGCGCCGGAACCCCCGCCTCGCCCCCAATAAGCTCCTTATTCTCCTCCGCAAACACCAACGCCTTGGGATCCTCCGCCACGTACCGCTCCCACGTGGGCCTCTCCGGCGCGCTCTCGCCCCGCACGGCATTCGGATCGCCCGCCACGATGAAGCTGGCGAGGTACGCGTTCAGCGTCAAGCACAGCTCCTTTTGCGTCGGCGAGATTTTTGTTTTCGCGGGCTCGCAAGCCTCGTAGTACATGTTCTCGCCGTGGCGCGCGCGGTCGAGGAGGGAGCTCTCGAGGCCCCATTGGTAGAGGTAGACGGGGAGCGCCGGGTCCGCGCGGGAGGCGAGGTCGGCTGTTTGGCGGACGGGCGCGACGTAGGCGTATTGGCCGTAGGCGATTTCGAGGCGGCGGTATTGCGCACCTGTGCCGTCGAGGGATTCCTTGTAGGGTGAGGTTGGGATGGTAAGGGGGTCCGGGTAGAGTTTGTCAATGGTCTCGACGTCCTCTTTGGAGAGCAGGGGAAGCAGGTCGGCAAAGAAGGAGGTGAAGTCGTCAGATTTGGAAACCTTTTTGGAGATGTAGATGGAGCCTTCGTTGCGGTTGAAGCCCGTCATGATGGGGACTTTGCGCCAGTTGTTGAGGCGCCAGGATTCCATTGGCGGGCGGGGGATGATGTCGCCGTCGACGACGGGCTGGAAGGCCCAGCGGAGGGACGGGTTATACTTGTCAAAGACTGCGATTTGGGCCTTTTGGACGACCTCGGTGGGCGCGGCGCGGAGGTAGGCGAAGGTCTCGGCGGCGGAGAGGTCTGGCGGGCAGCCTGTCTCTGCGAGGAAGTCTGCGAACTGTGCTTCGTGAATGGGGGCGCTGTAGGGGCGGACTGCGCGGGATGTTGGGGCGCCGGACTCGAGGATGACTTTGTGGAAGAGGGGTGGGTTGTATTGGCCTTCGTCGTTGATGAGGATGTGGCCGATCTGGGATTGTTTGTCAGACTTGAGTCTTCTCTTTCATGGTAGAAAGGAAGGTCACTGTGAGGACTTACAGAGTGTGCTCCGGCGGAGATGCCAAAGAGGGTGACATTATTGGGGTCTCCGCCGAATGCCGTGATGTTGTCGCGAACCCACTCGAGGAGAATGAGTTGATCTTTCAAACCGAGATTCACAGAACCCTCCTCGAAACTCTTAGTGGATGGTAGGAAACCGAGTGCTCCAATTCGATAGTTGAAGGAAACGGCAATAAAAGCCTGTCCCGAGTTGGCCAGGAACGAAGCCGTGTTGTGCATCATGGCGGTGCCTCTGTTGAATGCGCCGCCGTGGATGTACACGGCAACGGGCAGCAGTGTCTCATTTCGAGACGACGAGACGGGCCGGAAGACGTTGGCGGTTAAGCAGTCCTCGCTGTACTCAAACGCTGGACCGCCTGGGAAGAGTTGCTTGCCCGGTGCGACGGGGCCCCATTTCGAGGCGTCGATTTCCTTTGTTGAGGGTTGGACTTTGACCGGTGCGCGGAACCTGCGATCTCCTGTCGGCGGGAGCGCATACGGAATACCCTTGAAGGCTTCGACTGGCCGGGGGAGACTGTCTGACACGACTGTGCCGATGACGGTTCCCTGGGTGAGTTTCACTGAGGGACGGGCATCTTGGATTGTTGAACCCATTGTGAATATCTCTTGGAGTTTTGACTCTGCCTTGATGGTGTGTAAAGACAAGTGATTGAGTTGAGTTTAGTTGAAGTGTCTCAACCCGCAGTTCACAACTCGCAACCGGGGTGCATCCCACGAAGCTCTTATCGATAATCGACGGTTGCTCGTACCGGCTTCCCGACGAGTTGCAGTCGACTTTAGCACACCCACTTTCTCGGACAAGGTCCGGATAGTGAATGACCTGACTAGTAATACTCCGTAGTTATCGAATGGTGCTTGGCGCCGTGGCGGGAAAGGCTTGATTAGGCGTTGAATGATTGTGAGAACGACTCAAAGAGGCTATTGATACCGGGGCTTTCCCGCGGGGACGATACGGCCGATTTCGGCGAGACGTGCTTTCGGACGCAGATCTGGGCGCCGGACTCCCCCTTTCGACTTTCGACATGTTGAATAGAGTCAACAAATGCCCCCCGTTCCCGGCTTATCAGCCCCCGTCCGACTTGTGCTATCGGACGGGCCCCGACTCATGGGACCCCCCCGGCACGACTTCCCCGCGATAGCCAACTGCCATTATTTCCTAGTGTACCCAGCCGAATTCCCAGTCTTGCGGATAACGTCGCCCGTAAAATGTGGTTCTATATGGATCTGGGTTCAGATAAGACGTCCCATTGACGGACTCCTGGGCCTCCGCGTTATCATACCTATCTACCTAGTTGTTTACCCCGGACTGGGTAGCGTGGCGTGGTCAGGGTTGTCGAGATAATGACCAATTGGCAATGAGACATTAAAGGAGTTATCCCTCTTGTCAGAGAGACGGGAAACCCTTGGAAAAGTAGTAGGGAGGCTTCATCTTTGAATCTCCTTCTTCTCAGGATCACCACTCTCACCTTGTCCAAGTCTTTGTTTTCGAAGTTCCCCGCCTACATCGACAACAATGACCGAGAAAGTGTCCAAAGACATCAAGGTCGCCGAGGATGGCCTCGAGCCGACAAAGTCCTTCACGACGGGCGAGGTCGCGCACCTCGACGAGTCCGAGGCCTTTCTCCAGGAGAATAATATCACAGAAGAGTATCTTGCCGAGCTCGTCAACGACAAGGAGAAGAACCGACGCCTGGTCCGCAAGATTGACCTCATGATCCTCCCTCTCCTGGCCGGCACCTACGTCTTGCAGTACATTGACAAGCAGGCGCTGTCCTACGCCGCCGTCTTTGATCTCTTTTCCAGCACGAGCGTCACGCAGACCGAGTACTCGTGGTTCGCGAGTATCTTTTACCTGGCCTACCTGGTTGCCGAGTACCCATGGGTCTACATTGCGCAGAAGACGCGCATGGGCAAGGTGGTGGCGGGATGTGTTCTGTCGTGGGGTTCGGTGTTGATGATCACGGCTGCGTGCTCCAACTTCCCGGGACTTGCAGCGTGCCGTTTCCTCCTTGGAGTTTTCGAGGCGCCCATCACGACGTGCTTCATGATGATGGTTTCCATGTGGTAAGTCTCGACGTCTCGCTCCCCCTTATGTTGACATTGTCCTAATGCGTGCATTTAGGTACGTGCGATCTGAACAGCCCATGCGAGCAGGACTCTTCTACTGCTGCAACGGTGTCGGCAGTATGCTCGGCGGCGTTCTCAGCTACGGCATCGGCCAAATCGACTCTTTCCCCGTCTGGAAGGCCGTCTTCCTCATCTGCGGCGGCATCACCGTTGTATGGGGCGGCCTGCTCCTCGTCTTCCTCCCAGACAGCATCTTGAGCGCCAAGAGATTCTCCCTCGAGGAGCGAGCCCTCCTCGTCGGCCGCGCGCGTCTCGCAAAGACGGGCGTCCTTAACAAGACCATCAAGTGGTACCAAGTCAAGGAGGCCTGCCTCGACCCCCAGGTCTGGCTGCTGACGCTCTTCGTCCTGCTCAACGAGGTCATTAACGGCGGCGTGGCCAACTTTGGCAAGCTCATCATCAAGGGGCTCGTCACTGACCCGCTGTTGACCACGGCGCTGGGAATCCCGCAGGGCGCCTTCCAGGTCTTTTGGATTCTCACGGGTGCCTACACTGCATCCAAGTTCCGTAACCAGCGCACGACCGTCATGGCGGTGTGGCTCATCCCCACCATTATCGGCTGCTGCATGATCTGGAAGCTGGATAGAACGCACTACAAGGTCGGCGTCCTGTTTGGCTACTACATGATTGGCTGCTACGTCGCTTCCCTGGTCCTGGCCCTGCAGATGCCGGCAACGAACCTCGGAGGATACACCAAGCGTATCACGGCCTCGGCCATTGTCTTCACGGCGTACTGCGTGGGTAACATTATTGGGCCTCATGCGTTTTTGGCCAAGGAGGCGCCGTTGTACGCGACTGGGTGCAAGCTTATCCTCGCGTGCTCGGCTTCGCAGGTGGCTATTGCTGTTGGGTTGCGGATGCTGCTCATTCGCCGCAACAAGCAGAGAGATGCTGCTGCGGCGGCTGCTGGTATCTCGCCTGATGCCGAGCACGATGATGAGGGAGTTGATTTGACTGACAAGGAGGTGAGTTTCCCGAGCTTCTGTGACCCGCAAGAGACTTTGATAACTAACATGTGGACAGAACCCCAACTTCCGTTATGTATTATAAGATGTTTTAGAGCGGGACCTGTTTTAAAGATGACTATAGACAAGAATCTGTTTAGAGCGACAATTATGAGACCATGTTGATTCTGAGAATCGAAATTGAACTGTGAAGCGTAGTAGAACGTAGCCCGAGATTGCCCACATAAAGCTGGAGATGCGACTGGGCAGCCGGCCGGGTGGCTGTATCCCCAGGCTGTCTGTCACTGTGGGTATCAGACACGGAAAACCCTCTAGGTAGATCGGAGCATCTATAGCTTTGTCATCCTCGATAGCTCGTCCCCTACTTATTTCGTCAGCGGAACCTGGACATTGTGACTCAATCATAGATCCTTAGGACGGGCGTCCGCTAAGTCGCAGCTATCGGATACAATACTAAGTCAGTCGTCTCTCTCAAGGCCACAATACACAGTCTCGGAGGGATTTGCAGCGGAAAACTTGGAGATGGAATCATATTCGTATTGACAGTCTGGCAGCTGCGCCTAGACATGTGAGACCCGTATCTGTACCATGACGAACACCTTAACGGCCACGGCTTTTTCAAGGCCTGCATCAATCTGCGGCACGGAGGCTATCATAGTAGCCCCAGAATCCTCGACCATGGGAGACCATCAAGGGTGGCACGAGAATCCTTCGCTAGCCGGGGCGTGGGAGAGGAGCAAAGATATTGCATCGGGAGCGAAGGGGGTGAGGGCGAGTGGTCACTGGGGACTTTTGTGGTAGTTTGTCTTGATCTCGAACGCGGAAAATCTCATTTTGTTGGGTAGTCGTGAACCATTCCTATGCCATTTTCCTCTCCGCAGAGAGCCGGACGCCTCGAATTGGCGATATACCATGCAACCAACTCTAGATCCATGATGTCGACCGACCAGACCGAACGACTAGACCCTTTTGACAAGTCAGCGCAACCGTCCGACTGTTGTAAACAGCCCTTTTGCGAGCCGTACAATAAAACTCCCGACGTACCATCCTTCCCCCCCGAGGTCGCATCCTTTCAGCATTTAGCGCTGGCCGGACCAGACAGCCTTGACGAGGCCATCGCGCTGGGCCAGACGGTTGAAGGCATCGTCGCTCTCGCCCATCGCACGAACGAAACCGGAGAGGGCGTAGACGTGGTTCTCGCCGGGGACGGCGCGGCCGTTCTCGTCAACCTTGGCGACGGAGATCTGGACGGAGGCGTGGTCCTTGGCCTTGATGATGCGGTTGGTGGCGCTGCACTTGCGCGGAACGTAGCTATTCGACGAGGAAAAAACAAGAGGTTAGCATGGGACTCTCGATATCGAATTTTTGGTGTAGTCGGGCTTTTCCCGCGAAAGCTTCCTCCTCTCGATTTCGTCTCGCGCGGGCATTTCGTGGGATGGTTCGGTATGGGGAGGGGGATTTCTCACAGATCGACGATCTCGCCCTTGTCGTTCTCCATTGCTGCGGCTTGCGTTCGGGGTTGACTAGAAGCAAGTAGGTGGTGGTTTGCGTGGATGTTGTCGTTCGCGGGGTCGAGATGCGGGAGAGCTGTGGTAGACTGACTGCCTTCTTTTTTCGAAATTTCGTGTGGGCGGGCCGAAGCGGCAGGAAAGGGTTGAGATCACGTGGATCTAGCGACGTCTGCTTACCTCATACTGAAGATAAGATAAGAAACTTGTCATCGCCAAAATGGAAAGAACGGTCTGTGCTTCGATGACCAGGGTGCTCCTTCTGACCCCTGCTGCAGATACCTTACGGTACGTACCCACAACCGTCTAGGCCTGGAACTCGGGCCCCTCCACTCCACGCTTCCTACTGCTGCTGCTGCGCGTTGGCGGGTGCTTTGTTGATGTTCAAAGTCGACGGCGTGAATTCCATCTAAACTGCCACCGCCACTCGAATACGCCCCTCTCTCCCTCCACCGGTCCGTCTGACTTCGCAAGGGAACAACTGATGCCTCCGTCATCTGTATAACACAAGCGATTGTTTTCTCTCGCCGGCACACCCACGAACCGTTCAATCTGCTGCGAGTCGCATCAAAACCATGCGCTTTGCGCATCACGACGGGTTTGCCGAGATTCACGATGGGGTCGCCGTTTCGAAGCACCCGTCATGACGCCTATAAACTCTCCTCTTCACCGATCTTGCCATCCCTTGACCAGATCAAGTCTCAATTCCCCAAGCAGCCACCCATACGAAGCCCCATAGCTGCCAATTCCACACCAACACATGCGAGCCATCACTTCGCCAATCCTTCGAGCTTCCTTCGCCGGGAACAACCTGCGATTGACTTGACGACGCCATGTAGAGATGAACCTGCGCCACATCGACCACAAGAAGAGGAGGAGGTCACAGTGATATCCATTGCGAACGTACCCAGACCGAAACGCAAGAGGGGCGTCAAAGTTCTTGAGAAAAAGGCGTTCCAACCGCCTTCACCCTCCAAACCGATCAAAGATGCGT